ACCTTGCAGAACTCGAAGACACTTACCAACGGTCGTTAAATTAACGGGAAATCCCCTAACGGCTACGAACCTTTCAACGGGAACATGGTACTGTACACGCATTAAATGCTCAATTAATGATGTACGTATGAAGATATATTTAAAGTTGATGATTGATCATGCGAGTATCTTCGCGCCCCCAAAATAGCAAGTCGAAGGTCTAATCGGTCAAGTCAACAGTACAAGCATTTAATGAAGCTGTCTTCTACACTCCAACGGGAAGACTGTTCCCAGTATATAAGATACACTCTGAAGAACTACTAGGATAACTTTGCTACAACGTTTGCCAGACGAACTTGCTCAGATCATTCTACTCTAAATCAAATACCTCCAAGCTTTCTTGAGATCAAAGACTTACTTACCTCAACAAGAAAAGCTCAAGTTGGAAGATATACTTTCTTATCCCTAATCCAACTAGCAAGTTGCAAAGTTCATCAGTTCTTCAACACTTCGAAAACTTCATCTACACATTCTTTGTGAAGAAGCAACGTTGGAGAAAACTGATCTTGATTCAAACACTTCTTGAAAAAGAAGGGGCGTCTCAAACTAACTGGAGTAAGTGAAGTGGTGTTACTTACAAGAGACCCAGTGAAACGAGACCAGCCATCAGGAAGCAGGACTGCATCCCGGGTGGCAACTAGGCTTGAAGAAGACGTGAAGAGCTTCTTAAGTTCTAGGGACTAAGGCGTTGTAAACTGTTGTTTTTGTAAGCTTAGTGGAACAGTGGACTAGAGGAACAAGTTGTTCCTTGAACCACTATAAAAATCCCCGGTGTCACTTACTTTACTTATTTCTTTTCTGCACTTAAGAACTTGACTGCATAACTCAAAAGGTTGGACTCTGTGTTCAGCAGATCTTCCTCAAGAGTTATCAGAAAGGCATTTGCCTTAGTGTTGTCTGAGGCTACCCGGACAGAACCTAATCCGCTGCCAGGTCCAGTTCTGCCATCAGAACTTGACCTTCTCTGTCACTAGATTTTGACCATCTCTGATAAGTCAGTTGTGACTTAGAGAAAAGTTTAAATTCCTGAACAGTCTATTCACCCCCCCTCTAGACTGTTCCCATTACAAACGGGACCAACAAGTGGTATCAGAGCCTCCTTGTTCTTGTAATCTTTTAGGTTACTTACTAAACAAGAGATCCACTTGTTTTAGCCTCTTTAATCTCATATTATGGATAACACTCTTTCAAAGAATCTCATGTTCTCAGTGACAAAGTTTGATGACTGGAGGATTCGCATTAAAGCTCACCTCTGCGCACTCCATGATGAAATGTGGGAAGTCCTTGATGCTGGTCCTTTCACAGAGTTTACTAAGATCAATCCTGAATACATTGCTGGTGGTGGTCTACCTCAGATGATCACCAAACTGCGACATGAGTGGTCCAATGAAGAAAGGAGGAAGTACAACCTTGATAACATTGCCAAGGACATCCTCTACAAGTCCATAGACGATAAATACTTCACAAGAATCATGAAGTGCATCTCTGCCAAGGAAATCTGGGATACACTCACCCTGATAGGAGCTGGTGATGAGCAGGAAAAAGACAACAAACTGACCATTGCCATGAAGAGGTTTGAAGACTTCAAACTTCTACCCAAAGAGTGCATAACTGAGATGTATGCACGTCTACTCACACTCACTGCTGAGATATCAGAACTTGGGAAGGAGCTCACTCCCAAGGAGATCAATCTGAAGGTTCTCAGAGGCTTACCTTCACCCTGGAATATGAAGGTCACCGCCATGAGAGATAGCAAAGATCTCAGAACCTACAGCACAGAGAAGCTCATCTCTGATCTCAAATCTTATGAGTTCGAGATGAATGAAGAAGAGAAAGAAGAAGTTGAGGACAGAACAACTGCTGCCCTCACAGCCAACACATCTCAGGTAAATAACTTTGACTCTTCTATCCTTTTAACTGACGAATATATGGCTGCTTTTGCCAGGAAGTTCAGGAAATTCTTGAAGCCAAAGGACGACAGAAGTCCATCCTCAAGCAGAAAGCCGCACCAGAAACCCAAAGCATCAGAAAGTAGTGGAGAGCTTCTCTGCTACAACTGCAGACAATCAGGTCACTTCAAAGTCAACTGTCTACATCCTATAGTCTCCAAAAGGCAAGGCCAGGAAGGAGAGAAGAAGTATGAGCACAGAAGAAGGAAGGCACTCATCACTGAACAGCCAGAGAAGGACCCCCTCTCTGAGACAGAGTCCAACTCAGAATCAAAATCCGATGAGGCATTCTGTTGCCTGGATACAGAGACTGAAGACCTATGCCTTATGGGTCAATCTGATGATGAGGTATCCTCTACTTCTAACTCTAGTTTTTCTTCGGTAGGCAAAGCCTTTGATTCTGATTCAATGTCAGAATTTTGGGAAGAGTTTCAAGCCATCCAAGCCACTTATTCCTCTGTTAAAGAAGAAAACAGTAAGCTTAAGGTTGAAATCCTTGACTTAAGAAAGGAGGTTGAGATCAAAATCAATCTTCTGATTAAGGAGAGAGATCAGCTGAAAGCTGAAAATGTTTCTCTTCTAAAGAGAATAAGAGAGATAGAGCCTCTTGAGATTAAGTATAAAACCTACCAGAAGGCCCAAACCTCAATGGAAAGGTTTGTACTTGATCAACAAATTGGCGCTGGTTTTGGCCTTGGTTATGGCTCTACAGAATCATGTGAGCCTTCTGTAATGTCTAGCACCAGAGTTGCTAAGGCAGACAAGGTCATAGTGCCACTGATCTCTAGCCCCATCTGCCAAGTTGGTGTATCTGGCACCAAGGTTGTTCATGAGGAAGTCAGACCAGAAAAAGGGAAGATAAAGGTTCAATAGAAACCCTTTTTGAAAAATAATGAACCTGACAGAAAACCTAACAACAGAAAGGATTTTCAGAATAACAAAAATAAAAGACCATTTATTGACAGACAACCTCATGATAACCGTGCCAGAAATGACCACCAGAGAGGCAAATATCAAGAGAAGGTTAACTTCAGGCAGAAAAGGTTGGCTGGTCAACCTAAGAAGCCCAAAGCTAACCATTCCTCTGCTCTTGATAGTATATGAGACTTCTACCCAACAAAAAAGGCTATGCAGAAGTATGTAAACCGGAAGCATGATCCTCACAAGCATCTGCCCAAAGTGAATCACACTTCCGTTTACTATGACTACCAGGTGGACAATGGGTACCACCCACCAAGGTTTCACTTGATGAGACCAAACTGGTACCGGCTGCCAAGACTGCATGACCCCCTAGGACTCAACATTGCTTGGGTACCTAAATCTTCCTTTTAATTTTTGTAGGAACTGTGTGCTGGAGCTATCTCTGAACAAGATTGGTACATTGATAGTGGATGCTCCAGGCACATGACAGGTAACAAGAGTTGCATTACAGAGTTCCAGAAAATCAAAGGGCCCAGAGTTACCTTTGGTGGTAATGACAAAGATGGCCAAACTAAAGGAAGAGGGAAGCTGATCAGAAACCGGATAATCATTGAAGATGTCTCTTATGTCAAAGGCCTGAAATTCAACCTGCTTAGTGCTAGCCAATTCTGTGATAAAGGCTACACAGTTGAATTCTCCAAAGAAGGTTGTTCTGTCAAGCATGAGACAACTATGGAAGTGGTTCTGACTGCTACCAGAAAAAGAAACATCTATGTTGTTGATTGGTCTACTGCAAATGGTGGAATCTGTCTTTTAGCTAAAGGAGATTCAAAACTCAGCTGGGAATGGCACAAGAAGCTGAGTCACCTGAATTTCAAAACAATCAACAAACTAGCAAGGGATCACATTGTTGATGGCATACCCAACATTGTGTATAAGAAGGAGAGTCTGTGCAGTGCATGCCAGAAAGGAAAGCAAGTGAAGAACTCATTCAAACCCATTGCTGGAGACCTCTCTACTAGTCCTTTAAATCTGATTCACATGGATTTATTTGGACCAGTAGAAACTCCAAGTGTTGGTGGAAAAAGATATACCTTAGTCATGGTGGATGACTATTCAAGATACACTTGGACAATCTTTCTGAAGAAGAAAAATGAAACTCTGCAGAAACTACCATCTCTGTTGAAACTACTTCAGAATGAGCAGAACCAGAAAGTCAAATCTATCAGATCAGATAGAGGAACAGAGTTCGTCAACAAAGTCATACAAGAGTTCTGTGATCAAAATGGAACAATGCATCAACTCTCTGCAGCCAGAACTCCTCAATAGAATGGAGTTGCAGAAAGAAGAAATAGAACACTCAAGGAAGCTGCAAGGACCATGATTGCGGAATCAGGTCTGCCTTACAGATACTGGGCTGAAGCTATCAACATTGCATGCTACACCCAGAACCGGAGCATGATTCACAAAACTCATCAGAAGACCCCCTATGAGCTCTGGAAGGGAAGGAAACCTAACATCAGCTACTTTCATGCATTTGGAGGCAAATGCTATATACTCAATAATGGAAAGGAACATCTCAAAGTGTTCCAAGAAAAGGCTGATGAAGGAACATTCTTAGGCTACTCCAGCACAAGCAAAGCCTACAGAATACTCAACAAAAGGACCCTATTTGTTGAAGAATCGATTCATGTCAAGTTTGATGATCTCAACGTTGTTGAGGACATATCAGAGAACTTGGAGAAACTGAATCTAGAAGAAACACCAAAAGTAACAACATCAGAAGTGGTCAACAACTCTGCCATACCAATCCACCTTCAGAATCCCATTCTACAAGACAAGGATAGTGATGAAGAACCTGAAGAAGAGCAAGAGAGACCAAGACAACACTTATCAGAACCTGACCTAACTTGGTTAAGGGATCATCCCCCAAACAGGTGATAGGACAGATCAGAAGTGGAGTACAAACCAGATCTGCTACAACAAGGAGAGAAGCAATGCTTGCCTGCTACATATCTCAGACGGAACCTATGACAGTAGAAGAAGCTCTTGCAGACTCAGATTGGATCAATGCAATGTAAGAAGAACTCACTCAGTTTGAAAGGAACAAAGTATGGGAACTTGTTCCTAGACCTCAACATCAGAATGTCATTGGAACCAAGTGGGTATTCAAGAACAAAGCAGATGAAGAAGGCAATATTGTAAGGAATAAAGCTAGGCTGGTAGCCAAGGGATGCTGCCAAGAAGAAGGAATAGATTTTGATGAGACATTTGCACCAGTAGCCAGACTTGAAGCCATCAGAATCTTCCTAGCCTATGCTGCCTACAACAACATCAAGGTCTACCAGATGGATGTCAAAAGTGCATTTCTGAATGGAGATCTTGAAGAAGAAGTTTATGTGGAACAACCACCAGGTTTTGTCATTCCTACTCACTCCTCTTGTGTCTACAAGCTTAAAAAGGCCCTCTATGGTCTTAAGCAAGCTCCCAGAGCCTGGTATGACACATTGTCCCTTTTCCTAGTGAACCATGGGTTTACTAAAGTAAAGGTTGACAAAACTCTATTTCAAATCTCTGTTGCTAATCATATTCTGTTAGTACAAATATATGTTGATGATATTATATTTGGTAGTACTAATTCAGAATTGTGCAAGAAATTTTCTCAAGTAATGCAGAGTCAATTTGAAATGAGTATGATGGGAGAACTCAGCTACTTCCTAGGACTACAAGTTCCAGAAGGAATCTTTATCAATCAAGGGAAGTATACTAGAGACCTGATCAAGAAGTTTGGAGTGGAAGGCAAATCCTCAGTGAAGATTCCCATGAACACCTCACAAGGAATTGGTCCGGATGATGAAGGAAAGGATGTCGATGCAACTAACTACAGAGGAATCATAGGATCTCTGCTGTATCTGACTGCAAGCAGACCAGATATCTCATTCTCTGTTGGACTCAAAGCCCAAGGAGAGCCATCTTAGTGCTGCAAAGAGAATTATCAGATATATCAAAGGAAATCCTAATGCAGGCCTATGGTATCCAAAGGGAGGTAACTTTGAATTAATTGGTTACTCTGACTCAGATTTTGTAGGTTGCAGATTAGACAGGAAAAACACCTCTGGTCATTGCCAAATGCTAGGAGGAAGGCTTGTTTCCTGGTTTAAGAAGAAGCAGAATTCAATCTCAACAAGTACAGCAGAAGCTGAGTACATTGCAGCTGGGAGTTGCTGTGCTCAGTTACTCTGGATGAAGCAACAACTGAAGGATTATGGCATTCAAGCAAAGGAGATCAAACTGCTCTGTGACAACACCAGTGCCATTGCAATCACTCAGAATCCAGTACTTCATTCCAGGACAAAGCACATTGAGATCAGACATCATTTCATCAGAGATCATGTGGAGAAGAAGCATATTTGTATGGAGCATGTACCTACAGAAGATGAGCTAGCGGATATCTTAACCAAGCCTTTACCAGAGGCAAGGTTCAACAAACTAAGGGAAGAACTGGGAATGATGGATGATCTTCCCAGAGATGCATGAACCAGAATTGCTGTGGACCAGAACTGTCGTCTGGATCAGAAAACCCTACACCAGAATCCCCCTTATCTGATCACCAGAGCACCCCTCATCAGAGAACCTCCTTCTATGATACAGGGATCCTTATCTGCAGTCCATCAGAGATCCATGTGGACTTGATTATTTTTCGAGGAATGGGCAAGACCTTTTAACTTGAATAGGTCTTTTACCATAATACCCCTGATTATTATGTCGTTAACGGAAACGTTTTCCGCCCGCATTTCTTTAAATGATACCTCGAAACCATAAATTATCCCAAACGTCCACTAATCCAAAACCATTTATATCCATCTCCTTCAACCTAAACCGCTATTGTTATTCATCTCTCTAAACGTACTAGCTTCAAAAATCCCCCAATCTCCAGAATCTCTCAGAAATTCTTCTGAAAATGAACTTCATCAACATCAACGACCTCACCAAGGAAGAAGTCAAGACCATTGTGGCCAATGTGGTTACCGGGATGAAGGTTGATTTGTCTGCACTACCTCTACTCGCAGAGAATCAGAAGAGAATGGCGAAAATCATCCAAAGGATGAATGAATCCCAGCTGAGCAAGATTGTTGCTCATCCATATGAAGAGTTCAGCACCAGGGATGTGGCTGAATTCTATCTGAACGCCACCATCACCAAAAGCGGAGTTCACTCCAAGGTGCAGGGAAAGAGCATCTCACTCAATGTTGATGCTCTGAACGAATTCTTTGGAGTCCAACTGGACTCTCAAGACCCTGAGACTCCCACTCTCATTGACCTAGAGTCAGTGGAGGTCTCAGTTGAAGCATTTGCCCAGACCTACTGCCGCCCTGAGGCCGCCAATCTGGACAGACTTTACATGAAGAAGTTTCTGCTGAAGAAGGACTTCGAAAAGTTGGTTGTCATTCTGCACAGGAGCTTGTGGTGCAAAACTGGCTCAACTGATGAAATCAACAAGGCCAGTTGCAAAGCAATCTTTGTTGCTCATCATGGGATGAACATAAACTGGGGTGAGGTAATCTTCGGTTCTTTAACTGAATTCATCAAGAAGAAGGATCAGAAAACTGGCCTCTTCTCAACAAAGATGGGCCATGGCCTCCTTCTGTCTGCCATCCTCACTGCCCATGGAGTTCAACTCAGGGACCCTTCCCCAGTTGATCACTCCAAAACCCTGTTCCTAATTGCATCCCCCAAGCTGAACATAGCCATCTCTGCTGAACTGAAGAGAGAAGAAAGGCTGGAGAAGAAAAGGGAACAACAGGTTGTCAAACCTAAACCTGCTGCCAAGAAGAGCATTAAGAAGCCCTCTGTGACTTCTGAACAGCCTGAGCAATCCCAGATTGCAAGGGATGTAAGGAAGAAGAAGAAGAAGAAGAACGATAGATGCACTCTATCAGAAGTGGATGCACCAGAGATGAGCGCATCAGAGTTGGCTCCCCCAAAATCTGTTAGAAACTCTCATGCAAAGAAGCAGAAGTTGAAAAGGAGAAGGAATCAGGTTGTTCAGAGTGAGGACTCTGACAACTCTGGTCTGAAACCTTTGAAGAAGAAGAAGAAGAAAACAACCACACCTGCAAGGAAATCAGAAACTCAGGGGGAACCTGCACTTGTTGCACAACCCTCCCCTGCACCAGACTTGGATTTCACTGCAGATTTATCAGAACCCCAACACATATCTGACGGACAACCAGAGACTGATTACAACACCATTCTTTAAAGACAGTTTGAAAGGGTTCTGACCTGGAGAAGATGGAAAATGGGGCCTCTTCAGAAGATCATACAGTATTTTGACTATTTTGAAGCAGAAGAAGCTGATGTCTTACACTGGGTAGGCACAGAACATGTGTCTCAATGCTTCAACCTTGCCTTTCTCATCTCTGTCCTACAGAAGAAGAAAGAAAAACATCAAGGTAAAGCACCTATGACTGCCTTATCTCCTGAAAGGCATGTCAAAGCTCTGGAGGAACATGAGATGGAAGAATTTGATGTATGGCTAATGGAGAAGAAAAGAAAGGAATCTCTCATCAAGTTTCGCCACAGTGCTCGTGAGGAAGGGGAACCCTCCAAAGCCAATGATATTGCTCTTACAATGGAAAAGCTGGTCAAGGAATGGAGAGAATCCGTGTTTTCTGAAACTGTTCTTGAGGTAATTCCTACCCCCCTCCTTCTCCTCCCAAATCTCCTTTTACTCATTCACCCCCTCCTAAAGTATCTTCACCTAAATCTTTCTCACCTCCTAAATCACCTTCAAAACCTTCAACCCCAATCAAGCAGAAAACCCCATCACCTCAGAAAACCTCCTCTCCCCCACCATCCCCCATCAGAAATCCTACACCTCAGGAGACCAAATCAAAGTCTCCATCACCCTGCAAGCAACCCTCACCTCCTAGAAACCGGTCACCCTCACCACCACCCTCTCCCAAACCTCTAAAATCAGTCACTCCTCAGAACCCCTCTCCTCAGAACTCTCACCATCAGAACTCCCCCCATCAGAAAACCCCCTCACATCAGAGTTCACCTCCACAGCAGCAACACCTATCAATCACCAGAGCTGCTTCACCCCCACTCTCTCCTCAGCTCTCTGTAGCCTCAACACCCAAGAGAGAGATTCCCATTCGCATTCTATCCTCAGATGCTGACAATGATGGGTTCCTCACATCCTTTCTTGCGGCAGATTTCACATCCAAGAGGAGGAAGACCCCACCCAGGGATCAATCTGCTGAACCCACTGGCAATACTGCTCCATTCCCCAAGGGAAGAGGTTTGGAGATGCCTGGGTTTGCTCCAGAAGCCCCTCAGATGGACTTCAACCAATTTGTACAGTCTGCAAAAGAGTTTGATGGTCAGATGCTAGACAACATGAACAAGCTCATCGTCATCAATGACAAACACTATGAGCATCTGACACACACCAACATCCATCTTAATCAGGGCCTTCAGCAACTGTCAGAAAAGCTTGACACTCTGACAGAGTCCCTGCACACCTTCATGAGCTCATCCAACAAGAAGATTGACACAATCTCCAGAGAAGTAGATGGAATTAACTATGTCCTCTACTTTCACTCTCAATCAATGAATAATCAGAATCAGAAACTACAGGAGATCGCTGAAGCCATTGACATTCTGCAATGGAATGCTGATCAAGCCTCAGAGCGCTTCATGGAGATAGGAAATATGTGTACAGAACACAAAGCGCAGGCCTTAGACATTCTTCACAAGGACAAGGAGCGTTACCAGAAGTTGGTACTCCTTGAAGCAAGTACACAGAGTATCCAGTCTACCATGGAAAGACAACAGAACCTGATTGAAGGTCTGGCCTCTGTTACCCAGACTCTGCCAGAAGCTCTGGATGAGATCAGAGATGCCCAAGCATCAGAATTCTCAAAGATTGAACTCCTCCTTGGCGATCTTGTTGATGCCAAAAAGGGGGAAGACACCAGAGAAGAAGAAGGTCCAAGCTCCAGAACCTTATCTATCAGAGGACCCTCATCATCTGTTGATCCTGCTCCTTACTTCGAAGCTGCCAAAAAGAAAAAGCAAGTTAATGCAGGCACCAGACCTCCTCCTCCACCTCCCAGAAGTTCTAAGAAGAAGCCCTCCAACTTTACCTTCAATGAATGGATGAAGAGTGGGATGTCTAAGCCTGACAGAGCCCAATTTACACAGATGAAGAAGCTGATGACTCCACTGCAACAAGAGAATTTGTTTATGGACAGTGATGGACTCGTCCAAATCAATCATGGTGGATCAATTCAAGAAGCTGAGATCTGGTGGCAGATGAGAGTTCTATCTGGCAAGAACATTTCAGAAGCAATCAGAAATTACTTAGATTGCAAGCTTGCACCTCATTGGGCAGACTATCATAATCCGAGGGACTTAGCCTCCATCAGAGCAAAGGTCAATGCAGAGCTTGAAAGGATTGACAAAGCAGGACCTCATGTAGATGAAGATGAATCTTAAATTTTATCTCTCTGATTATGTAATTAACCACCTGATAATAAGATACCATCTCTGCCTCTAGTTTGCATGGCATCTTAAATTATCTGTTCCTTCTTACTTTCTGTGAATTCCTTGTGCTTGCTCTGGTTCTTTTTGTCCTTTTATTGCTATCTGATTGTACTGTACTCTTACTATTTTCCTATGCTAAGTTGCCCACCAAGATTTTAATAGAAGTTTTTAACTTTATTCTTGTATGGTGAAAGGCACTTCTCTGGAAATAGTTAAAGGGTTTTGGCATCATCAAAAAGGGGGAAATTGTAAGGAATAAATGTAATTAGATTTTGATGATGCTAGGTTGATTAGTATTTGAAAGTACCCCAATAGAAATTTTGTATTAGATTTTGTCTTTGTATGTACTAGAATAGTCGACATGCCAGAAACCCTCTTGGTCTTCCTTATCAGAACTTCTACCAGAGTTGCTCCCAGAGTTGCTCTCCAGAAAAGCCATCAGAGTTGGATACCAGAGTTGGCATCAGATAAGCCATCAGAGTTCTGATCAGAAATCCTTATCAGACAAGCTCGTACCTTGCAGAACTCGAAGACACTTTGATAGTCCCTGTTTCTGTAACAGCAATGAATAACGATCTAACAACGAAGATTAAACATAAGGATAACACATATTGAATCAATGTAAAACCCTCTTTGATAGACCGTGAACTCGTACAACAGAAAGATATGCGTGTAAGGCTTTAGAGAATAAGTACGACGTTAACCTAATCCTAAACCCTCGGCTCCCTTTTTATAGGCGAGGTTTAGGTTAGGCGTACAAGGCTTTTAGCCCGGTTATATGGGCCTAACACTTGGCCCAAGTGCTATCTAATTCATGCACTAATTAAATACAAGGATTAATTATAAAGCTAATCTATGACAAACTTGATTCACAATTAAAATATCTCCAACAATCTCCCCCTTTGTGATCAAGTGCCACTCTGTTATTGCTTCTGCGACTTGAAGTAGTGCTTCCTCATATTTAGTGCATGTTCATATTGCCTCAGCATATTTCTCTTTTCTAGGCGATCGTCAATGGCCTTTAAAATTGTCTCTACTGTAGAGTGTTCCTTTTGAACATAAGACGATGCCTCTTGAAGATTTTCCTCTAGCTCTGCCTTCATCTTTAGAAGCTGTTCTTTGATTATCTTCAGCGTTCCGTCACAGTATTTCTCAATTTCATTGACTACCATCAGATGTTTTTCGTTCTTGTGGTTCAGATAAGTGTCTGCTGGCGGTGTGAAGAAGATGTGGTAAGCTGGGAAGTCTTCGAGTTCTGGACCATACAGTCTTGGTTTTGTCAGATTTGTCTTTTTCAGGTTGCACTCAATAGCCATCTGTAGGTCATGTGAAGAGTGTACTCTGATCTGTCTAAGCATGAATCTCTTGATTGCTGCAAGACTTTCGCTGTATGTTATGCTCTGCCTGACTGGAAGGTATCTATAGGCCATGAACATTTGATAGATGTCGTCGGGTTTAAGCATGATGAAGTCATTCTCTTGGCAAGTAAATTCACTCCCGTCAGTGCGTTGAAGCCTGTAAGTATAGAATGTCACTCTGTGATAATCTTCAGCCTTCACTTGTAGAATTTGATGAATCGGGAGAATGTTGGACTTCAAGTCTTGTTCCATCAGCTCTCTCCGAGTACCGGTTGACCTTTGTAATAACATATGCAGATGACCTCCAACCTGCTTTCCTTTTAGATGAGTAAAGCCTCTTAGCTTCAGTTCATTCAGCGGTTTGACTTTGTCTGGTCTACGCCAGATATGCTCTCTGATTTCCTCTTGGAAGGGGGCTTTGATTCGAATGTTGTTCCAAGGTTTCTCTGTCTTGGGAAGTCTTACCGCTGATTGTCTTACGACGGATTCAAGAGTTTTCTGGGATTCCTTGTAGTTCTCCCCTTCCTTGCGTTCATCGTCCTCGAGCCTGATGATATCTTCAGAACATTTGTTGATTAGCTCTCGTAGCCACCAATTTCTCTGCATGTCCTCTACTTCAGCCTCATTGCGGAGATCATCCCATTCTGTCCATTGTCTTGGCCATTTATCATATATCACCGCCTCCTCCAGTGCATCGTGGATGTCTTTGCCTGGGGAAATGTATGGAACTCTTTGCTGCTTTTGAGGCGGTGATTGTTCCTGGGTAGCACAACCGGGTTCACTTGGATTGCCCGTTGACATTAGCTTAGAACTAGGTTCCAACTGATGCCCTGATGTAAAAAATGTACCAGTGGTAACATCATCAGGACTTCCATCCCCTCCTCGGTTGGTATCTCTGGGAGATACGCCTCGGGATGTTACTTCTAGCTCGACCTGGCTAGATATTTTGGCTGTGGGTGGTGGCTGTTGGTTTGTCGAGGTTTCGGGTTGGATGGGCTGTGGAGTTTGGCTTGGTAAAGCAGTTTGCTCAAGTGATCGAGGTCGCTTGTTCTCCCCCTCATGAGGATCCGAATCATCATGGTCCTCATGGGAACGTTTGCGACCACGAGGACTCTCCTTGCACTTGCTCTTGGTTTCCGGTGAAGAAAGGAGGGCTTCGAGTATGGCTTGCTGATGAAGGGTAAGTTTGTCTTCAGGGGTGTTTAGGAGGTTGTTCAGCAAAGCCGATGCAAGAGTGTCGAAGGATAGTGAGGAGAGATCGATGGAGGGTGTGGTCGGGTGTGGGGAGAATACTGGTTCTGTATCCTGGGTTCCCCGAGAAAGTGAAGGAATGGGAATTTGGTTGATGGATTGGTGAGATAGAGGGGTGGAGGATACGGGTTGTGTATGGGAAATGAAAGGTTCGGGTGAAGGTTGGGGTGGGGGTTGTTCAGACCGAACCGCTTGGGTGGTCCTAAATTCATGTGCTAGAGCGGTAATTGCATCTTGCACCCATGGTTTAATGGTGGAATCTAGGAAGCGATTTAGTAGAACGTTTACGTCTTCAAAGGTTGGGTGACCAGTTACGGGGGTTGTAACTGTTGACACAGCATCAGTGAAGATTGCTGATGTGTGGCCTGCGTGCAATGATGGAATCATTGTGGGCGTAGCAGGGCTTCCAACCGTCATAGCTTACGCTCTGGTTGTTGCGTTCAGGGTGTGTGTACCTGTATGTGCAGTGAATAGTGTAGGTGTCCTAGAAAATGAAGAAAATGTTGGGAATGTGACACCTAGACTCGATGTGTGAGAAGAAGGGGTTTTGACCTCGGGCGATAGGTCAATTGTACGCTCAACTGATTCAGAAGGAACCAGTAAGGGGGTGGAGTCCCGTTCTTTTGAAACAATAACCTGTTGAGAGGCTATCGAGTGGATGGGAGAGGACTGTGCTTGCGCAGTTGAGCCAGATGCTGCGACTTCTACCCGGGAACCGAAAAGATCGGCTCATGTGCTTAAGGATTCAGCTCGGCTTATCTGGATAAAGGTATCGCAGCCCGCAAAGATATGCTCGTCTGCCTTATCAATCAGGCTCTTTCTGGCTCGGGGCTGGGGCTTTGCCTTGGCAGCCTTGTCATTCTTGACCTTTGCCCTTTTCTCCCGGATGACGACTTCTTTAGAATTCTTAATTTGATGAGCTACCTCGTCATAGTCGTCCTTGGAGCAGTTTGTCTCGCTGGGATCGGCTCTCGGTTTAGCTGTCTCCTTGATAGTGAAGACTTGGGGTCTGCCAGCTATTATCGGTGCTGCATCTTCAGCAGTGATCCTTTTCTTCTGTGGAGATTCGACTGGCAGGTTCCCTTTTCTGATCAGGGCAAATGTGTGCTCAACATCTTCACTGTCGTTGTCGTCATTGTCATCATCCGAGTCAGATTCCTCGCTATCTGTGCCCACGCTCTCGGATGCCTCGTCGTCAGTGTTTGTTTGGGCTTCACTTGACGATTCATTGGTTGTTTCCTCAGCATCTGTTCGGTGCCCTCAGCCGCCTGACTCGTCTCTAGAGAGTCGTCAGACTTTCCTTCATTGGGCGAACCGGCCACTGGTTTCTGTGGCTTATGGGCTCTCTTTGGACCCTTACCAACACTCGGCTTTGTCCCCGGGGTAGGTCCAGCTGGGTTTTGCTGAACCATAGGGACAGTTCTCTCAGTGGCTTCCTTGTACTGCTGGACCGCTGGATTTGAAGATTTGACAAACTTGAGCAGAAATCCAGGGATCCTTAGACCGAAGACAGGATTCTTGTATGCTTTGAAGTATTGCAGCTTCGGTGCAGTGAAGTGTGGATCTGAGCTCCGTTTTGGTATTGAGGAGTGCTCTGCCATGCAGTCGTTTATGATTAGCCCGAGCCACCTTGCGTACGGGATGGTACCTGGCCTGTTCTTTTCTTTGGCTTTGACCAGGTCCATTAGCTCTGAGAAGAAGAGCTGTGCCAGGTCGTAGTTCTTGTTGAAAGCGATGCCATGAAAGACTAGCAGGATCTGCTTGTTGCACTTGTCGAAGCCGGCATGCTTAGGTGACAGGCACTTGTTCACCAGCCCGAAGAGATTCTTCCACGGATGGTGAAGATATGCTCCGTTGAAGTTGGAGAGCTGTGGCAGTAATGAGGTGTAGCCTAGGGATGCCACGTCTTTCAGTAGATCTGGGATGGACGGCAGCGCATCGTACTCGTCATGGATTGGCAGCGATAGAGTAGCCCGTAGAGTGGATGGTGTAAGAATCACCCGCATGCCGTTCAGCTTGGTCGTTATCTTTGAGCGATCCTTCAGTGAATCCGTATGCATGTGACCTTTCATGATTGCTGGAACTACGGGGTTCTGGCACTTGAACATCGCAAGGTCTAGCTGGAAATTGTTGTCCAGCACCTTGATCCATTTCCCTTTGGGGTAGATGGCATCACTGATCTGCGTTTGAGTTGTTCCTGTCATTTTAAACTGTAGAAGCAGGGGGTCAGCATATGAAATTCAACTGTTTGATTAGATTGAATGAGTTTGATTTGAAGGTTTCAGATAAGTTTATGCAGGTGGAATTTTGAAAAAGTTGCAAAGTCCAAATCTCGAGATCTGAATCTCGAGATCATGATTTCGAGATTCAAATCTCGAGATCAAGATGTCGAGATGCAGATCTCGAGATCTTGATTTCGAGATTCAAATCTCGAGATCAAGATGTCGAGATGCCCATCTCGAGATCTTGATTTCGAGAAGATGAATCGACGATTTCGAAGAGATTAAACCACCTGCAAAAACAAAGATATGATATACCAAATTGATAACAAGCGAGATTACGACATACATTAAAACGAAAAAACTCTAATTTGATTTTGATTTTGAGAAATTTCAAGGGTTTTGCGAAATCAATCGTTCGTTTTTGGATGTCGAACACAAACAAATTTAAACAGGTTTTCGAGATCGATCGTTCGTTGAAAGCGTTTTATGTATTTCGAAAACAATGGATGTTCTACCTTAGAAGGATGTCGAGAAGGAGAATCGGAGAAGGAGAAGGAGAAGGGTTTGCGAAAACAGAGATGTTTGGGAAGAGGAATAAGAAGCGATCTGAGCTCTGCCTTGCGAAAAAAATTTGGCCTTTGAAAAAATCAGAATGGAAGATAAGGGTTTTCGCGAGGCTTTTATACGCTAGAAATTTTTTTTGGACCTCCTCCGAAATAGTTGAGCCCGAATGATTGGGCTAGCACACAATGCCTTTGTAAAAGATTTTCGAGGTCCAAAACTAGTAAAAAATAAAGAGCTCCCCCTCAATAAGTGAAAATTTTCTCCCCCCCCAAAAA